TTCAGTGCCGCATGAATGGCTTATAGATATATTGAAAATATATAAAGTCGATGATAATCTCGTGACCTTTTTGAAGCATATAATGGCAGAATGGAAGACTAAAATTCACCTTCAAATACCTGGTGAAATTAATATCGAAACTGAAGATATCCCTATTAACCGGGGCCTTTTCCAAGGGGACTCGTTGAGTCCACTTTGGTTCTGCCTAGCGATGAACCCACTATCTCAGCTGCTGAACTCTACTGACTCAGGATTTAGCATCAAAAATAACAACACCGTTGTAGCGAAACTTAATCATCTGTTTGTATATGGATGATTTAAAATTATTGGCTTCCACCCGAAATCACCTAGATGAGATGCTAAAAACTGTAGAAAATTTCTCAAATGACATCAGTATGCATTTTGGACTAGACAAGTGCCGTATACTAAATATAGTCAGAGGAAAGGTTCAGCCTGGAGGTTTCGATATGCAAGATGGCCAAAACATCGAGGCAATGGGTGAAAATGATATGTACAAATATCTCGGAGTAAAACAGGCACGTAAAATTGACCATAAACAAATGAAAACGGAACTAACTTCGGAGTTCGTGCGAAGAGTAAGACAACTAAATCGGTCATATCTTAATAGTAAAAATTTGTTTAAGGCATTAAATACGTACGCCTGTTCTGCACTGAGCTACTCATTTGGTATTATAAAGTGGTCAAAAACGGATATAGATGGTCTTCAGCGGAAAGTAAGAACACTTCTCACAAAGGCGCAAAAACATCATCCACCTAGTGCAGTAGAGAGAACAACATTACCGCGGTATCAAGGGGGAAGAGGACTTATGGATATAGGTGAGCAATTAGATAAACAAATTGCTAATCTAAGACTTTATTTTCAGGTACAGGCTGAGACATCTACTTTACATCGAGCAATTTGCGCAGTAGATGATACGACGCCGCTTAAACTGAGGGAACAAGAAATGCGCATAAACCACCTGACTCAGCAAGAAAAAATGCGCACCTGGATGAGTAAACCTCTGCATGGGCGACATCTCAATGAGATCAACCAAGAATATGTCGACAATACAGCGTCGAACTATTGGTTGACATCAGGAAAGATGTTCCCCGAGACTGAGGGTTTCCTACTTGCCATTCAGGATCAGGTTATTCCAACTAAAAATTACCTGAAGTATATTGTTAAAGATCCTCAAGTCCAAAATGACAAATGCCGATTTGGATGCCAAGCCCAAGAAACCATCCAACATCTTACCGGTAGCTGCCAGGCATTTGTCGGTACTGATTATAAAGAACGCCATGACTCAGTAGGAAAGATTATTCACCAAGAACTAGCTGACAAACTGGGACTTCTCCATACCGACCATCTTCCTTATTATCAATACGCTCCTGATAGAACGCTTGAAAATGACAACTACAAGCTATACTGGGACCGCACTGTGCTTACAGACCAACCAGTGGCCCATAATAGGCCGGATCTCATACTAGTTAATAAACTTACTAGACAAACAACACTTATTGATGTGGCGATACCCAACACCAATAATTTAGTTGTTAAATACAACGAAAAGATCGCCAAGTACAGAGATCTAGAAATACAAATCAGGAGACAATGGAGAATGGAAAGTACCCAGACACTACCTATTGTTCTATGTACTACTGGTGTTATTCCCAAAAACCTCCTAGTGAACATAAAACAGCTGGGTCTAAATGAACATCTTTATAAGGCCATGCAGAAAGCTGTACTCCTCGTGACGTCCAGATGTGTACGAAAATTTCTGGGAGATACTCCAACATACCAAGTCACCTAGGGCTCGATAACATGGAAAGAGTCCCACCAGAGCTCAATCCTTTTGATACCGTAGGTATCTGGGATGAGTGAATTTTCCCCTTAGAGGGAGTGTGAGCCATATGGCTAAATCTGGGATAATAATAATAATCTCATTGTTTACTGTCATTAGTATATAATTATTTTTATATGGGCGTATCGTTGATGTTTTCGAAAAAGGTAAGGTGGAGATATAAAGTCAGGGCGTTGTGTTGAAATATTCTCATCAAATCTTTCTTTAGCTTTTTCTTTTGCTCTTTCCGTTTTCTCTCTGGCTACTTTATAAAAGTGTTCCATACGGTTATTAGGGTCTCTAACATATTTGCTAATTAGGCGTTTTTGATTATATAAAGTTTCTGGAGGTGGTCCTGCAGTGTGTCCAAAGACTAGTTCGTACGGTGTAAAACCATGTCTTTTTTTTTTGTATTATTATTACTTATCACTGCATAAGGGAGGATTACGAATGGGTGATCATTAGGATTTTCGGCTGTATTTTCTCGGATCATTTCTGATAGTGTGGCATGGAATCTTTCTACAGATCCATTGGATTGTGGATGATTTACACTAGAAAATGTTAATTTTATATCATAGAGGTTGCATAGATCTTTAATTATGGCATTTTTGAATTCTCGTCCACAGTCACAATGTATTCTTAAAGGTGTTACGTAATGTTGAAAAAATAGAAGGAGTGTACTCGCTATGGTGACTGCTTTTTTATCAGTTAAAGGGTATGCTTGAGTGAATTTAGTTAGTTTATCTCTAATGATTAATGCATAGTTTTTAGTGGGATATTCAAATATTTCCAGAGGTTTCCATTCGGTAAGAATCTGTCGCCACTTTTGAGATGCCTAAAATATGCCACATCAAGTGGTTGTGTTAGGTGTGAGGAGTTTGGATACATACGAATTGGATATTGTTCTCTTCGCAAAGCCTGGCCACGTTTAAGCCTACATGTGAGCTAAGATTATCACCGATAACTACTTTTTTACCTTCTTGTTTTTTCAAGATTGGAAGAAGATGTGTAGAAAACCAATCTTCAAAATGTTGCTCCATCGATCCAACCTTGTTTTGACCTGTTATAATGCGCTCCTTGATATAATACGAGGCGTGTTTTTTAAGTACCGTTTTGTAATTAAAAAAAGACGCGCAAAGATATGGCAATAATTTTATTTTTACATGAAAGCCTGTACCTTAATCTACTTTTCTACATAATTTCTGTGAATATTGAGGCACTTGTCATAACGTGGCACCAGTTTTTGAATACCCTCCTGATAAAATTCTGCCGCCTGACTTGTTAACCACTGCATCACAAATGTTTTGACTTCGTTATCGTCTTGAAGACGCTGACCGCCCAGGTGTTTCTTCAAGTGCAGGAACAAATGGTAGTTGCTGGGCGCCAAATCAGGGCTGTATGGAGGATGATCTAAATGATTTGATGAGATCTTTGGTCTGATTAGTCACATGTGGACGGGCATTGTCATGCAGCAAAACGATACCCTTACTCAACTTGCCACGTCTTTTGTTCTGGATTGCACGACGCAGATTTTTCAATGTCTCACAATAAGACGCTGCATTGATTGTCTCTCCAGAAACTCCACTAGCAATACTCCTTTTCTGTCTCAAAAAACTGTGCACATGATTTTCCGGGCAGAAATTGTTTGCTTAAACTTCACTCTTTTGGGTGATGATGAATGTCGTCATTCCATGGATTGTTGTTTCGATTCTGGTGTGACGTGGGCCACCCACGTTTCGTCACCAGTAACAATTTGGTCTAAAAAATATTCACCTTCACTGTGGTACCGCTCATGGAAAGTCAATGCACTGCCTAAACGTTGGGTTTTGTGCAAATCCGTCAACATTTTTGGAACCCAACGCAATTTCCGGTAATTCAAGTTCTCGGTAACAATGCGATACAAAACACTACGAGAATACTGAGGAAAGCAGTCGGACAATGATGAAATTGTAAAGCATCTGTTGTCTCTCATCTTTTCTTCCACTTTCTGCACCAAATTTTCATTAACGACCGAGGGACGCCCACTGCGTTCTTCATCATGCACATTTGTGCAGCCATCTTTAAATGCTCCCACCCATTTCCTTACCATTCCATCACTCATAATGTTTTGTCCGTAAACTTCAACGATCTCACGATGATTATCGATCGGTTTTACGCCTTTCGCACTAAGAAATCGTATAACAGCCCGTACTTTACAATTAGCGTGACTCACGATTGTTGGAGGCATCTTACACACTGGAGTAAACAAGTATACATGAAGAGTCTTAGTTTGTGCCTCCGACTGATTTGCCCATCCCGTGGGGTGTGCAAATCAGCCGTGACACTGGCCTACCTATCTTTCGACATACGGCCTTTGTCTATCCAATATCTAGCTAAAAACCCTGACAAACGAATCCATCCCATCGCCGCACTCCAAAAATTAGCGACGAAAGAAGAGCCCCCCAAAATTTTATTAATAAAAGCAATACAAAATTTATGTTTATAATAGTTAAAACTTATCTCTAGATTGTTTATTGAAAGTAGTGGAAATAAAATTGGGTTTATTGTTTTGTGTATTATTATTGTGGTAATTAATAAGTGAGTGAATTGGTAATTAGTGTGTATGTGTAAATCTATTTGTTTGTGAAATTAGTAACCGTGTAACTATGGATTGTGTTTTATTTCTTAACCTAAATAGAGTTCATTATTATTATGTTATGTCCTACTACTAAAAAGAAAATAAAAGACCTATTCTACACCTAATATAAAATGATTATACTATTCTAGCTAAAACTTATACTACGAATTTGTGTCCTGTCACCGATTTGGGGATCGTGCTATGGGGAAATTTAGAGTGTCCTGTCACTTATAGCACTTTACATACATATCGCGGCGCACTGAACTTGGTTTGTTTATTTGTTGCACTGGTTGTTTTATTATCGTGGTCCGTTTAGTTCGGTCACTAAGTGTCAGGAACTATTTTGCTTGTGCGCCGAGTTGTATGCTGTTTAAAGCGAAGCGAGTGTTCATTACCGTCGACCGGAAGGCAGGGGTAATTTTCACTATATATTAATATGAAATTAATATTAATATGGAAGAATAAGGTAAATGTGATATATAGTTTGAGTCTCTTTGAGATATGAAAACGGAGTGTAATGTATGTTTAATACGTTTATAGTGTCATGTATCTTGGGCGTCGTCGTCCAAGATCATGTTTTCTGCCCATTCATTTATCCATGTTGTTAATGTCTTGTCCGTTATGTCTACGTTTGTCGGTGGGTATGTCCTTTGTTTCTGTCTTAGTTTTTGTGTTAAGGTTTGTCTGGCTGTTATTCGTTGGCTTAACATGCAGGTATTTATGATATGATGTTGGTCTTCGGGTACGTTGCATTGGTCGCAGTTACCATTTGTATCCCGAAGATTGAACCTGCGGTAGTAGTCCTGCATGTGCCCATGTCCTGTAAGTAGTTGTACCGCCTTCCACGTGTACACGGGCTCGGCCAGTCTCACTGTAGGCATAATGTTGTCTGTTTTCCTTCCTTTCGCGTCTCTGTCCCAGTTTTGCTGCCATAAGATAATTTTTGTTTCTTTTTTAAGTTTATCGATGTCTTGTTTTGTTGTAATGGTTATTACTTCTTGTGGGTTGGTGTGTGCTTCTTTTGCTAGGTTGTGAGCAATTATGTGGTTTTGATTGCACCTGTTAATTTTTATGATGTTGTAATTGATGTTGAATATTTTGATGTTTTCTAGGTCTTTTTTAGCACAATTTATTATTTTGTTTCTACAAGCACCGTTTTCTAGCTGAGCTAAAACTGAGGCAGAGTCGGTATAGAAGATAATATTTCTATTTGCGTAGTCTCTTATGTTATGTTTAATGTGTTTTATACTGGTGGCTAGTGCCCTCGCCTCCACAGCGTTGATGTTGTCTGTGGTGATGAGTTTTTTGTTAAGGCGAATTTGGTTTTGCATGTTTTTAATGAAAATGCCTATTGTAGTACTTTGTAGTACTTCCGTGTCTGGCGTTTGTATGTCTTGTGTTGTTTTGATGGTCCTGTTTGTCGGGTGTGGTGTGTTTGTAGTTCGTAGCTTAAGGTCATGGATGGTTTGCTTGTTGTCCGTGTACGTTTTGTAGGTCGCGAAGGCATCTACACTCA